AGATCTAAGTCACTGTCTACTCTGGTGATAAACTGAAAGGTCAGGACATTTCTTCCATCGGCGCAATACAAAATGAGCTACAGAGCTATTGCCATGCAAGGGTGGAGCGAGGCACGGGGAACCGTCGTCTGTATTTAGGACTGCAGCATCATGCCAACTTGCATTATGCCTGGACAATGGCTACACAATTCAGAAACAAAAATACTAGCAAAAGCTATCAATGGGAGAATTGCAACTTCCGCTCCGTAATTATCACTGTTTCCATCTGTTCCACAAACAAAAACATCCCTAGTTATTCCCATCTGCTGCCCTATGCCAGGCAATGAAAGGAAGACTATTGTGCAGAATATCCTTAAGCAGTTTGTTTTCTCACCGCTCCCTTTTGTGACAAATTCCTTATGCACCATCATATTCAGGGGTTGAAGGAAGTGAAAAAGTTAAAAAAACAGACTACAAAATGTTCCTTTTATCCACCTTCTTCCCCTTTTGTTTGAGGGAAATCTACAAAATACATCTTATACAAAATTGCTAACAATTCTGACAAAAATAAAGCATTGGTATTGCACAAATAGCAAATTTCTGAGTCAATGGAATACACTGAAAATGTCTGGATTCTCTAACTTTAGGAACAGTTCCTCTGTGAGTGTTTGGTAGTGCTAAAACAAGTCTTCCTTATTTTTAGAGCCAGGGTATTTCAGGAAATAACAGTATGAACTGTCAACTTGTAGCCACATCAGAATCTTCTATTTAACAAACAGAGTTCTGAAAACCACAGAATTTCTGCTTTTTCTTCCCCCCAAAATATGCAGGTGCACCTCTTATTTTGCATATATAGAACATTGAACTGCAACAAAATCTAGAAGCTTTACTCTGAATGCAGCTAAATCTGCTAAAACGGGATTTTATCACCTTGGTATCTGGAACAGCCAGAGCAAGACACATAGCACAGTTTATTTGCCTCCAGGCAACTCCTGGACCTGCAGTTAACCAAAAACCCAGAGCCCTGTGAAATTTATCTCTGGGATCCACTTCACTCAAACTAGCACTTTCTCTGAGATCCATCTCTAAAGAAAGAAACTTACTCTAATGGTATCTCTTAAATTAGAAGTACTCCACAGTGACATACTGTAGTACCTCTCATGTTCTGTGTTTCTGAAGAATAGCAGTTTCATTTGTGATAGCATTTATCCCATGAAAAAGATAATCAACTCTTGTATGCCTTGCATGTATTTTACCAGTTGTTGGCAAATGTGAAAGTCCTTGGCCAAAGTATCCCAGAATGGTGTCTTTCTAAAATCCAGATGGTGAATGGTTAAATAATTTTGCCATGCATCTACTTTTTAAAAATAATATGTAAATTAATAAGTTGGGGTTTTTTATATTCAGTTTTAGTCTTAACAGTCTGGATTTTGTTGACCTCATATCCTTATTACTAATATACATTTCCTTTCCAACACAGAAAAAACAGTGAACAAAAAGTAGTAAAGAAAAAAAAAGAATAATAATATCACAACCATAAAATAGCTTCAGTTTTCCTGTACTTCTACCACGTAGCTGGGGGATCAAAGATGCACGAGACAAATTTCCATGCCATACCTCAGACTCTGACTATTCATCAAAGAGCAAGGACAACTAAAAGAGTTCATTAGTAACAGTTCATTACTATGTTCCCAACTCAGAAGTTCAGCCCAACAAATGTAAATATTTTCTAAATGTGATTATGTGTTCTTGGCAATTTAACTGACAGAAATGAGACAGAAGTGGCTACCCTGTCACATAGAGCACGGGAGCCAGTCTGACCGAGCATGCAGAATTCCAACTTGCAAAGCCACAAGTGTGACACAACTTCCCACGTTTGCATGCCAAAAATCACTAATGGCTCCAGCTGTAGCCAAATTGTGCCCCGTCATCCTCCCCAGTGCATCTAGGAACACCCAGGAACAGGTACTTCAGAGCAAAGTACAGGAAACACGTAACACCCAAGTGTGGAGTAACTCACCTCCAGAGCACTTTCCTAGTAGTCCTACCAGTCTGAGTTTGGATCTAGTTTAGTAGGTTTTTGTAAGATCTGAAATCATTCCAGACCTTTCTTACCCTTACACTAACTCTAAAGACATTTATCTGTGTCCAGTTCCCATCAAATCTAACACCTTACAGACCTTCTGTATACACTTTTGAGTTTTTATTAACCTTCATTATTTTCTTGTGTATTTATCAACCGCTAAACTTGGCACCTGACCACTCAGGAAAAAAAAAAATACAAATCACAATTTACCTTACTGGAGATTTATTACGAAATAATTACAGATCCATTGGAAATAAGAAGGGCCTTCTCCTGACACATTTAGTTACATGAGACCAATGACTCCAAGCATAAGAAACAATCAACTATGCCCCTGAGATGTTATCCTGTTGCCATTTTAGACAAGGAAAAACTTGCCTTTGGTTTGAGTGGGATTAGTAGTAACTCACTAAATCCTGCTATGCCATTTGAGGTGGCAGAGAATATAAAGTCAGTCTTTCTATAATTCTGTGAGCAACGCCAAGAGCACTGTATCTCACTCAGCTTTCTTGCCCTGTTTTCCCATGCAGCCAGACCTGGTATCAACACTGTGAAGTGACTCATTCTACAGCACTAAAAACAAAACACAAGTTCCAATACCAACATTCAAAATCTTGCACATGCACCCCGTTAGTATAACCACCAACCTATTTTCCTGTAAAGAATTGCATACCTGTTTGCAAATGAGACTACAACCTCTAACTGAAATCTCTAAAGGGAAAGAAATATCTTTTGGGGAAAGAAACCTTATTAGAGTAGCAAGCTTGCTATTAATCTTTAAGGAAACAGAAATCAATATTGAACAACAGTTAGAACTGCACATTTTCAAATAGTGCAACTTAAAATTTCAATTGATGCTCCTCCTCTCTAAGAACTACAGAAATTAATGCAGTATATTATTAAACAAACTGTACGTACAAGTGGAAGAAAACGTGCAACTCAGTGATTCGTAATAAGAAATAGGTAGGTAAAAGGATCGCTGAGTCCCTGATGTGACATGAACCTACAATCAGTCTGTTTAGGATGGGATGCTGCTAGAAATTACCTGCGCAGGAACAGCAAACAGCATTCTCCTCTGGACCTGTTCTGTAACTGGCAATATGGATCCATAATACTGAGTTGTATGCTTGAAAAGAGGTTTTTTGAAGAATCTGTGATATTTCTAGAGATAAGGCACTAATATAACCACAGAACCATCAGCTGGAAAGGGATTTCTGGAGGTCTCCAGTCCAAGCCCCTGCTCAGTGCAGGGCCCATTAAAGCAGGCTACTCAGGGCCTCGTTCAGTTAGCGTTTCGAGTACCTCTGGCAATGCAGATCCCCAAATTCCTCCAGAAAACCAGGTGTTGGACCATCTGCAAGGTAAAAACCATGTTTTTATATCAACTCTGAAACGTTTTGTCTCCCAACTTGCCCCCGTTGTCTCCCATCCTTCCTCTGCCCATTTCCGAGCTGAGTTTGTCTCCATCTCCTTTGCCACTTCCCACTAACTGCCTGTAGACAGCAATAAACCTCCTCTCTGTCTTTGCAAAGCCATCTCTTTAAGGGGCATATAGCAATATTAAATTTAAATCAAATTTAGTAAGAAAATAGAATTTATATGAATTTTTTAAGCTTCTGAAGCAAGCATGAGAGAATATATCATGCATTCCCGTAGAGAAAATACATCCACTAAAAGACAATTTGAAGCGCAGTATCCCGACTGAAAATTAGGAACATTTCATTTTGAACAACATATCTGAAAAAACATCACTGTCCTACCTACACACCAAACTTTGACAAACTCCTTGAACCCTATCTTTTGCTCAGGGGTCAGGGTGACAGAAAACTAAGAAAAGAAATAAAACAAGACTACAGATTCTTTCTACCAGAACAAAGGCATGTGACCGTTGACTACATCTGCCTGGTATTACACTTCCTTCTCTCTTTCCCAGTGCTAAATAGTTTTCTCTTAACTACAAAATATTCCCAGTCAGTTTAAAAATTGCTTCCTATTACCAAAGATTAATAAGCACCAACAGTTAAAACATGAATCACCCTGACTCTACACCATGACAACCACCTGAGAGCAAAAACAAGCAATGCTTTGCCCCCATCTTGATTTCTGCTTCTCTAAGAAAAAAAGATAACCTTTTATGAGACAGGACTGGCACAGACTTCTGTGCAAAGGACAATAGTGCACAGAAGTTTCACAACAATGTATGTCTGCTGACTTAAGGTGTATGCAGAGCGAGGTGAGATGTGAATGAATACCCCTGCAGTAAGTGCCTACATGCCATGACACTGACGTTTACATGAAAAAGTATCAAACATAAGGTCCTTTTAAGGCAGAAAACATTTACACTCGACCTTTAGGATTTATATTAAAAAGAGATTTGATACACAACTGAATGAAGCATGTGGTTTCTTATCATCACTGATTCTTTGCCAAGGTGTCACTGGCCTCATTTTACTACATACAGCCAGAATGCCGTCACTCCACCGGTGATCACCAGCAACGATACAAGAAACTCATCCTCCTAACACCAAATCTAATGCACAACAGAGTGACAAGGACCTAGTTTACTCTGCAGTTACTGGAAATCAGCTATCAGAAGTATTATGAAGACTATCACATGAACCACCAGGACATCAAATGACCATACCTGATTACCAATCAACCTGCACCAGTGTCTTAATTAATTAAACCAATGAGTACAGCATCAGTCCATCTAGCCTTTCCCCTCACACAAAAACTTGCTGTTCCCTAGCCCATAGGTCAGATCAGCTTTGATAGAAGAAGGAAGCTGAGAAGTCACAGTTTTATTTAATGTTCATCTGCACAATTCCTTACGATAATTCAGGAGTCAAACCTGTATTACAGCACTATTCTAACTGCAAAACAACCACCCTTGAAACAACACTTCCCAATAAACATGTTTGTGCTGAAGAATCATTCCTTATGGCCAGACAGTCACTGCTTTATTTGGAAAATAAATATAATTCCAGCTGCAACATTTCACAGTAAATAAGTACACCTCAACAAAATAGCACTACTTAATTAGCCATGCAACATTTGTGGGACAGCTCTTCTGACAGTTCAAATCATTTCTTAAAACTGTATTTGGTAGCCAAGGCAGACACAATATCCCTGTAAGGAGTATCCGAGTCCGATTTGGTCCTTGGTATGCAGCACAGTCGGCGAAAGGTCGGAGAACGCAGCAACAGGTTGTGTGAGAGTCCCATGAAGCTGGAGGACAGCCAGTACAACGCCATGGACTGCAACGAGACAAGTACCAAGGTCAGCCTCCCTAGATGCAGTGAGAACACCACAATTTTAGGCAGCTCTTCACGAGCCATGACCACTGGTTACTCCCAGTTATCGAGAAAAATAACTCACCTAAAGCCACTTCTCCCAATAACAATAATGGCTTCCATTTCAAATCTATTTTTCACTCTTTCTCAACTCTTCTGGGAAAGAGTCATCTACACTGAAATTTGACAACAGTTCGTGAATTCATTCATACTAAACTTGCTTGAACGTCTATATTTCAGACTATAAGTTTACCAGCCAAATGAACATTTTGAGATACTTTGTTTTGCTAACCACTGAAACAATATTGAGAAGTAGAACACCCAGTAAAAATTAGAAGCATTACAAGCAGATTGTGGAAAATTTTCTGATCTAAGAATTATGCTGTTCTCCTCGTAGAGTAAGTAAACACTTAGTAAACCTTTCTCTATACATCCTTATAAAAAGTTTTCCTCTCGTTTTTGACATCACTGTTGTGGTTTCAGCCTGGTCGGCAGCCAAACACCACACAGCCACTCTCTCCCCCTTCTCTTCCGGCAATAAGAAGGGACAGTTGATCCAGGCTTGGGGTTCGAGATAGGACTGGGATGGGCAGATCACCCATTATGGTCATGAGCAAAAGGCAGACTCATGAGGGGAAGAAAAAAAAAGGACATACATTTATTACAGACACTAACAACAACACATAACAGAGTAAGACAGTGAGAAGCATTGCCACATCTTGAGAATACCTTCCCCCCACCCCTCCCTTCTTCCCGGGCTCAGCTCTGCTCCCGATATCTCTACCTCCTCCCCCAGCGGCACAGGGGCAGGGAATGGGGGGTGCAGTCAGTGCTGCTGCTGCTGCTTCCATCTGTGGTGGAGGGAGCTTCTGGAACTTGTTCCCCCTGCTCCATCGTGGTCCCCCTCTCACAGGAGACAGTCCTCCACAAACTTTCTCCAACATGAGTCCCTCCCACGGGCTGCAGCGTTCCCCACACTGCTCCGTCGTGGGACACCAACTTTCTCCAACTGGAGTCCCTCCCATGGCTGCAGCCCTTCCCGAGCTGCTCCGGCGTGGGACACCCCCGCATGCTGCAATCCTCCCAGCGCTGAATTACAGCAGTGGGGCTGCCTTTTCCCACAAGACCCCAGCCTTCTTCAGGCACAGAACCTTGATCATCCAGTTGAAAAACATAGGCCATAAATCAGTGTCTGCTCCACCGTAGATCTCCACGGGTGGCAGGGGGGGCTGCCCTGCCATCTCCCCACAGGATACAGGGGGGTCTCTGCTCTGGCACACCTCCCCCCTCCTTTCTTCCTCCGTTCCTCCACTGACCTTGGTGTTCATGCAGCTGCAGCAACTCCTCCTCACCAGTCCCACTGCTCCTCACCACGTCCCTTCTTAAATACGTTATCGCAGAGGCGCAGCCGATTGGCTCAGTTTTGGTGCAGAGGTGGAGCTGACTTGGAGCTGGGGGAGCTTCGAGAAGCTTCTCACAGGGGGCCACCCCTACAGCCCCCTCCCCTGCCACCAAAAAACCCCACCACTCACTCAAGCCCAGGACAATCACAAAAAGGATGCTGGCCTGCTCTGAATGCCCTTCCATGCCCTAGTTTGGGTAAATCATGTTTATACTCAGTAAGTTTGTAGATTCCTCCATCTTGGACAAAAACCATTCCAAATGCGTTAAGAATTTAAACGCAGACAAAGACAACTGATTTGTTTTAGGGCACACTGTATTGGAGAGCATAGTCTATTAAACACACAAGGTATGTGGGCTGCTCTTTAAGCTCTAGGAACATACCAGAGTCACAGGTTAACAGATGCACCATTCAGACCCTGTACTTACAGAGGGGACTGTTGCAGCAACAGGGATCATTACTACTGACACCACTCGAAAGAAATTTGTAGCAAGCTTCTGGAACCTGGAAACTTCCGTTTTTTGCAAAGCAAAGATCTGAAAGGGGAGAAACCCACAGTTACAAACGAGGTTTTTTTGAGGGGACTAAAATGAGTCACAAGACAACAGTGGGGTTTCCTGTAACCCAGCATGCTTATCCACCTATGACTTTCCCTTTGCATGCTCCATTTCAATTAACATACTGCTACAATCTTTCACGTAACCTGCCTGACGTTTTACAAGCTCAATCCTTTGTAGAAAATACCGCACCAGCCTAGCAGAGTAGCTGACAATCATTTCAAGGTAATGCAACCTTACACAGTCCCAACACCTCAGCCTGAAGCACAGACTGCTGGGAAAAAGGACAGCCCAAAGACGGCTGATAGGTGACCGAAAAAAAGCAGAATCAGCTCTGCACTCACACACTGACTTCTTTTCTCTAAGACAGTCTATGTCAGACATGACTTAGAAGAAACTAGAGTAAGAAAAATCCAGAGGTTTAGAGCTTGATGAGAACACCTAACACAAAAATCAAGAAGAATAATATTCCATTAAATTACCCCAAAAAATGGGAAATGAAAACTTTTTTTTTTTTTTTTTTTTTTTTTTTCCTGTTGAATAATCTCCTCAGCAATCTTAAAAAGTTTGGATTTTTTCAATTCACTAAGAACATACAATATTGTTATTGTGACCACAAGGCAGTAACAAATAACTGGGGGGGTGGACAGAACAAATCAAACAACTCGACATGTGCTTTTGGATGCTTAACAACCAGGAAGCTCATTAGAACATCATTCTCAGAGAAACCTGGGAATCAAGACTAAATTTTACAGAGGCTCAGGTAAAGCCAAAAAAGCATCTGAGACAGGTCGCATCAGAATTCGTCATCTCTAAACAAGACACTCACTCATACATTCAAACCCATAGAACAATTAAGTTAATTTGCAGTTCTGCCCAATGCATTTAAAGCAGTGATAACCTGAAACTACCCTTATGTTACCAAGTTTTACAGCTGGTTAATACTGTCTTACAATTCTATAAAAAGAATTATCCTTTTGCAATCATCCTCTTTATTCTACCAACATACCTCCACTATCAGCAAATTCACAATCCCAAGCACAACTGGCAAAATCCACGTAGAATCTGGCGCCGTGAGGTCTGTAAACCACAATGCTCCACCTACTGAAAACTGTTCTTGAACTATATGAATAGTTTAAAGAAAATACAGAATTAAGTATGATTTGCTACCTCAAGTTAGTCAGAACCATACCATGCATTACAGTCAATCATCCAAATTTCCAGGTACATTTTATCTACACGATAAATACCATTAAAGCAGAAATCTTTGGTTTAACAGACAGCATGTAAAGGCAGTCTGCTATCAATACAAGTAAAAAATGGTGGGAGATAGAAGCTGAGATCCAGCGTAGCTGATGACAGCCACTGATTCTGGTAAATCTGCAATGAAAACTAGACTAATCTCAACCATCTTTTTACAAGCCAATGAGGAAAATATGCAATGCGGTAATGTACAGTGACTATATATTTTGTGGTTTTGAAATACTTATATTTTTCTTCATAACTATGTAACTTGCTACATTTTTGTTTTGAAGAACAAACTACTAACTCTTTTCTGAAAAATCAGAATATCAGTATTTGCATTTTAAAAAAACTCCACATATTCATCTTGCCCATAGTATTTCATATGAAACTTCACATGGATGAAAAAAATACACATTAACAGTGAATGTGCATGGCATAGGTAACATTACTTGCTAAATATGCTTATCTTGTGAACCAGAAAAACTCCAAGACAATTTTTTTTTTCTAACCCTGTCTTCAGAAGAACACAAAATAATTAAACGATCACACGGTCTAACAAAATGCCTCACATTGTTTCCAGAGCTCAGACCCTGATAATGCTTTTAAAGAGGCATCCATCCCACAAAGCTCACAACACTATTACAAATAATGGGAGTGTACAAGCAGCAATCAGTGATGCTCTGGAAGCTGCAAATACCTGCTGGAAGAGTTAAAGCCAAAGTAAAATATAAGTGTGGTCCAGATGTGAGTTCTTTGATTATATGAACTGTGGTTTAATCTAGTAAAACATGTACAATGTATCTAATCAAAGTGTTTGAAAGTCATTTTTATCTATGCTTAAACTTTATTAAGTTTAAAAACTTAGTAGTGGAGTAGTTTTTATATCAGCTGGTACACAAAGCTCAGAAGAGTGTGTTCTTTAACCAATGAAGTATCTGTAAAAACAGTAACTGAACAAAAAATGACTGTTAAAAAGTGTGTCTGTTCAGATTAATCACCTTCTGAGCCCGTGGCTCCAACACTGCAGTTGCGCAAAGCAAGGGACACACAAATCCACATTGGAACCTGTACCCACACCAGTAAAGTGGCTTTGAAGGGATGGCAGTTGTCTCGAACGTACAGTTCCGTAATAATCCTCCGTAGGTTTTTCTTAAAGTAGAATCTTTTAGAAAGAAAGAAAAAAAAATTCTTCTTAAAATACCTGTTATAGAGAAATTTCTCAGATTCTGAAATAACAATTCTACAGGCTGTGCATGTCAAGCTGGCTTCTTTAGGTGCAACTCTGGAAAACCTGAAAAGTCTTTCCTCTTCAAACATGCCTCTCTCCTATATTATCCCTCTTCCCTCACAACTTTTAGCCCTGTTGCTATAAGCAGCTTTTTACAACAAAATTCACCCTTGTCATTGGCAGCTACTAGTAACTTGTCTGGTATTGTATTTCATGGTGCTTTTTATCTGAAATAAGGTATAACTTCCTCAATACAGAGGCAATCAGCCAGTTGTCACCCGCAATGCTGCGGCTCAGACACACTGCTACTTCATGGGGTGCAGTACTACAGTAACAAATAAACACGAAAGCCTTAAATTTCGGCAAATTAGATACCATAACAGCTAAAGGAAACTTTAGCCACAAGTAAAGACCACAAAACCAGTCCTGGATTTGGCCTGTAACCATAAATCTATCACAAGTTCAGAGCTTTAAAACGGCTATACTCTGAAGGGCAATAGAACAAACACAACTGAATCACAGAAGTGGTAAGAAAAGCTTTGGGCAACTGCGTAATTTTTCTGTAAGACTGTTGTTTGTAGGACCTTCTCTCCTGCCACCCCTCAACCTTGAATGCATTTATAGGGTATAAACAATCACCATCCTACCTGGCCACCTTCTCAGACCAACCCAGTTGCTTTCCACGAACAGAAACTTCATAGCGAAGATGCTCAGCTAGTTTTTTAATCTCGGGCTGCAAATTTTCCAACTAGCTAAAGAAAAGGAAAAACATTTACGCACAGTTACATGTAACAACCACTTCCTCTGCCCACCTGGACATTAAAAACAAGCGACAAGACAAGGCACACATCTGTAAACATCTTTTATATTAAAACAAGATGAACACGTGAAGATATACTAGTGAGCAGTATTTACAGTAACAATCAAAGATACCATCTTACTACTAAATGAAATAAACAGAATTAGATTTTACATTTTGTTTTTATCAAGTATCTTTTTGTCTCCACTCAGGAATTGTAAACAGCTACTTCACTTAACAAAAAACCCCTCTAATGACACTTCAAAAAGATTTACAGCCCAGCAAGACACAACTTTGCAGTCACTATCCTGAGAAATAAGAAGAGTACAATGCGATATTCATTTCTGCAATCAAAAGAAAAGGAAAAAATGAATAATCATTACCATAAAAAACAAAACCAAACAACCCTACACCAAACACACTGCCATAAAAGAATTATGTTTCTTCTGCAGTAACACTCTTTGAGTGATGGTCACTGAAGAACCTTGTCCACGAAACACACCTGTGTTTACCAGCCTGATGGTCACACCTGATGGTGAAAAACAAAGATCCCACTGACTCCAGGCCGGAGTTGAGTCCTGGCAGCTGGGAAGCACCACCCTCCCGAGTTGGTGAAGAAACAGCACAGAAAAGGCGAAACTCCCTACTTCATGCCCCAGCACTCTAAAGGCTCCTTTAGCCCTGTAGGCTCAGCAAAACACCTCTTCAGTAACTTCAACCGTTTTCCTCACTTCGGAGGAAAAACAGGTATTTAGAGACTGCTGAAAGCTAGTTTTTGCTGGCGTGGCATTAGCAAGTGCTATTAACATAGCAAATGACAGAAAGTACCTCGCACACACCACCCGACTCTCACGCGAAAACAACTCGATTTCCATGTAGTTACCATTTATCAGTTTTAGACTTCGCGTGTCCAAGGAGGGGCCGATGCAGGTTTATAACCACTGAGAAGTCCGCCACGAGCTCCACGAGGCCGATCAGCAGGACCCTCGGTAAAGGCGCAAACTGCGGCCCCGACCACACAACCGCGGTGTTATGGAGGGGTACAAGCATCGCCCAAAGCTGGCCACCTCCGCACCCTTTGTTGCAAAATATCGGTTCACCAGGCGCTGCCGGCCCCAGAGCCCCTCCTTCCCTCCCTCCGGGCCCGGGCTGCCCTCAGGGCAGGGGGCCGGCGGCCGGTAACCCACCTTGGCCAGGATCCGGCCCTGCTGCGCGGCCAGCGGCAAGGTGACGGCGGTGCGGAGCAGGGCGGCGCCGCCCACGATGGCGGCCCACCACGGCAGACCCGCGGCCGCCTGCAGCGCCGCCAGCCCGGCCTCCGTCCCCTGCACGGGCGCCGATTGAGCCAGCCACTCGTACCAACCGCCGGGGCCGGCCCTCGCCGCCGCCGCCGCCGCCGCCGTTAGCCGCCATTCCCGCGCGCCGGCCCGCGGCAGCCGCCACATCGCGTGGCTCGGTCACCGCGCCGTCCACCTCCCGCGCATGCGCCCGCTGGAGGCTCCGGAGGCGGGGCGCGGCCTCCCGGCGGCCATGTTAAGTGCGGGCAAGGAGCCTGGCGGCCGCACCCCGAGCAGGCGATTGGCCCGTGTTCACTCCTTAATCTCTAAATACGGTTTTGTTCATTCCTCCTAAAAAAAAAAGACCTGCCGGGTCCCACAAGCATATGCACCTGGGTTATTAACTGATCTAATAAAAATAATTACACTTCTTTTTTTTTTTTTTTTGTAATAATGCGAGGGAAAAGTGGAGAATATTCCTCATACAGCCTTCCAAAACCTCCCACCTACCACTGAACAAGCCCGATGCCCCAAAGGCAGAATGGTGCCTGTGGGCCGTGGGCAGAGCTTCTTTTTCAAGTTGACAAAACCAATAGAAGAACTCACACCCTCTGAAACTCGATTCTTTTGACCCACAGAATTGCGAGCAGTAAACAATATCAAGCAGTATTTCTGAGGAATATTATTTCAGAGTAAGAACGCAAATAATCCTAAAAAGCATTGAAGCCTTAAACAAAAAATTCTATTAGAGGGTTCAAGGTCATACAGAAGACCAGAAGGACACTATTTCTCATGTGCAGTAAGGTACTGAAATGACGTTTCAACCATTTTTCTCCACAGTGAGTCTGGCATCCATTTTGCTAGAAGCAGATCTTTACACGTGGTACCTGAGGTGATTAGACAGCTGTAAAAAGGAGCTTGCTTTTATTTAGAGCATCACCTAAAGGCAGGTATAGGACAGGTATGCACAACCCTTCTGGATACCTCAGAAATACCACCACCTTTAAAAGGCTTAAGGTCTCTTTGGGCAAGTGTGTTGTCTTTTTTTTTTTTTTTTTTTTCCTTTGGGCTTTCAAAGGAGTACCATAACAAATACAAAATAGCACTTCTTAATTTCCAACCCTAACAGCAGCCAGTTTAACTCATCCAGGATACTTTCCTCCCCAGATTCTCTCTCTTAGTATAGTAACTTGGAACAGAGGGGGTTACTTAGTGATATGGCAAGGAAAAACCAAACTTTCCCTCAGCCTTCTTTCACGCAGAATAACCAGCAACAAATCACACTGACCTTCGCTTGTTCTGTGCAAAAATACATTTGACTTGTAGATCTACTTCAAACCATATGTACACAAACTGTGGAGCGGTGTGTCACTGCTGTGTCTTGCTTACAGGACCCCTGAGACTTTGCCTCCCGGTGCTGCTGTTGGCTCCACGCTACTCTAAGCAAACAACGTGACAGCTCCTGACCATGGCTATAAGGAAATTCTCACTTGAACTTTTCCAGTTAAACCTTCACAGGGCAGTGACCCAGTCTGGAGCAAGACATCACCTATTAGAACAAAGCCTCTTATTCTGAAATAAGCCTGCCTTTGGAGCTGGTTTTCTTCAGTGTAGCTCTGCTAAAACTGCAAGTGAAAAGTCATTCTTGACCTAACACATACCACGGATGTATGGTCTGAAATAACTTGTTTAGGACAAGGAAGGAGCCAGAGGAACAGAAGGTCTGGGAACACCTGAGGAACAGAACAGACCTTGCTGCATCAATCCAACTGTAAGAATTATTTTTAATACAGGCTGCAGCATGATACTTTTACCCTGCTTACCAGCTAAGTAGAGGAGTTCAGTGTGGAGATGACTCTGCATGTGCCAAAAGGCTGTTCTCTCAGGCGCTTTTTGCTGAAACGCCTTTCACAGAAGGAAAATGGAAACTCTTTAATATCTCGTTACAACTGAAGTATTCCTTCTCAAAAAAATCCAACACACATTTGGAAAAAGCCCTCTGGTAATTTCCAGGTTTTTTGTAAGTATTTAAATTACACAAGTAGAAAAGTTATGCTTATTAATAGTTTAATGTATGAAGGAAACATCCAGATTTCTGAATATGAAGGTACATATCTCACATTAATTTAAGTCTACATAAAGTAGAGCCTCTATACTGACATATTGAAATTTACTTTCTGCTTAGCCATTTGTTATGTAAACAATTGTACATTTATTTGCCATTCTAAAACTTCAGGATCAAGTTTACATAATTTTGCTAAATTTCTGTGTTTGCTCAGAAGCAGTTTACAGTACTAAAACCAACCAGCCAAAGAACAGCTTCAACAGAAAGTTATGTCAAAAAAAAAAAAAAAAAAAAAAAAGGAAAGGAAAGGAAAGAATAAAGGCTAACTAAGTTGAAACGTATGATGGTGGGGAATGGGCGGTCACAATGTTCACAGAAAAAGGTCAGTTAGTAAGTTCTTCTGCAAAAAGCCTACACACTTCAGTCAAGCACATCAGTAGAATGATCTGGGAGCACATAAACTGTTTCTGCCATTTGTGTTTTCCTCTGCAAAAAAAGGAATCTCAAGGCTAGCAAGTTGATCCCACTCAGCCAAGCTGGTTCATATGCACACTGTTCATGTGAGGTGTCCAAGTTCCAGTCCACACCTGAAAGAGAAAGCTTCATTTAACACCATGTTTTGGGGCTGTTCAAAACAGTTCAGAAGTCAAAAGTGCACCACAGTGCTTATGGGTTTTGCTGCACCCAAGTAAAGCCCAACATCAGACAATATGGCAGTCGATTATCAAACTACACCGTCTCCCCTCTAGCACTTGTTTTACCCTGTTGTAATTCAGGTGAAAAGAGGGAAATAGGGCTTTAATCTTTCTGCCTGTACTTTTTCACCTTGTCCCAAGGGTTCATCTTCCTCTTCCTTTCTACTTAGTGAAAAAAACAAACAAACAACTTTCACCCAGCCTGACTACCTTCCTGAACAGAGAAATCAATGCTATTTATGCCCACTAGTTCCTCTATCATAGCAACAGTGATATAATATGTATTTTACTGTTCTGCAGGAAAAATGTATCCCTTTAGACCCTGGGAAATAAGTACTCCCTCTAAACATGTCAGGTCCACTATCAAGGATCATTAACATAATTTTGTATGTGTGCAAAAGTCTCTGCAAGGACAGGGCCTGCAGACCTCCAGCTTTCTGAGCAAAAGACTATCTTTCCTCTTTACTGTAAGAAGTTCAGACAATCAAGAGTTTTATTTCTAGCACCTGACATTATTTTTCCCCAACACATACTAACACCCCCAGCTCTAGGGAAACCCAAGTATATAAAGTCAAGTCTTCTGGGACAACAAAATTTTCCCCAATACACCAGAAGTTGCCTCATAAAGGTCACGAGCCACTTCAGGAGCAATAAATGCACCATGGCCAAACAGCAGACTGCCTCTTCTTCTGCACAATTTTGGGCTGCTAGAGCTAGGAGCTGCTGTTTGCAGCGTGGATGATTCCCAAGCAAATTAAATCCAGAAATATCTTTATTTAATAACAGCGTAACAGAGCTCACTGTATAACTAAAAATAAACACAGGATATAACAAGAGCTACTGATTACCTGTCATAACATTAATTGCTGTCTGAGTATGAACAAGAGGTTTAGGGGAACATAATCCCTATACCTAAATCGTATTTAGTGGACAAGCCTGTAACCCAGGCAAAATGAGAGCAGCAGAGAGAAGAGCTGCTTACTCCCTTCCTATGTGAATTCCTAATGCAGTGAAGACACCATACCTTTCAGAGCCCAGCAACCACCCCCTAGACCTAATGCTGTTTTCCCTTCTTGGGAAGGAAAAGTTTACATAACAAATAAATGGCTTTTCTCACAAAAACAAATTGGTTGTGTCTCCTCAAATGCAGAACTCAGACAGAAATCATGATCATTTTGAGTAAAATACAGTGTAGAACTATCTTTTCTATCCAGACATGCCTACAACACATCATCAAAAAAGCTGATCTGCAGTAATTAAGCAGGTGTCTACTTTTAATTTATTTAATCAACTAGGCAGCTTCTCTAAGCTCAATGAGAAGCAAGTTTCCCAATTCTCAAGCACAAACACTTTCACAGAAGTAATGACAGCACACTCCTTTGAGCTGCACTGACTTAGTGATGCTGAGTTTTTCTTGGGAGAAGTTACACTTATTTTTGGAGAAATGTCTAAAGTTTAGGAGTTGTTAGCAAGCACGTACAGCTCTCAGTGCTGTAATGAGTAGGAGCATGTATCAGCACCTTAGAGACACAAGAAAAAAACGAAACACTATTTTCATGCTTTCTAACAGCTAGGATCTTATCTTTACCACACTGTTTCTTAAGTTAAAACAAAATGGCAAGTATAAAAATTGAAAAATTACCGTCTGAGGCCCATTATTTTCTGTGGAATTTGAAACCATCTTTATCAGCGAGTTCCAAGATGGGTCAGCAGCATGAGGCCCATTAAATATAGGGCCTCCAGTACCATCTGTGATAGGGGCTACAGGAGGAATCATTGCATTCCCATACACAGAAAAAGGCATGCCCTTTGGGGAAGAAAAAGCAAGAATCAGTATGTTTTCATAAACACTGCTACTACTGCACACACAGAATGACAAAAGGAGATTCGGGCTAAAGAAATTCTCCATCTTGAAGCAGTGATGAAATGCCTGAATTTAAGGAACACCTTTCCACGCATGTATTTATTAAATCATGGAGAAGTTACTTTTTTACTAGAATGAAGGTTCTGCAATACTGTGAAGGCGAGGTAGCTTTTTAGCTTACGCACGCTTAACTGCAGAGTGAATGATACCTTGGCATTGTTCATCTGCCTCACGCGCTGACGTGGAAACCGAGCGGTACCACCCGTATCAAGTCCAAGAAGGTCATTACCCCGACTTTTGGGAAGTCCATGTATCCTGCAGGAACAGGCTGATGGAATGTACCGGAAGGCGTTACGATTCCCGTGTTGTCTCTCTCCATGGCTTGGTGCGAGAACACCCCTGGGTCAGACATGGGCCTGTGGATCATGTGGCTCCCCATTCCGCTGTGACACCAGTCCACTTTATCTACCGCCACAGAAGACACAACAACAGCATTATACATCACACCCGCTAAGCGCCCCTTTCCCAGCCTAAATGTTGGCACGCTGTAACGTTTCTAGAAGTGACATTTGCTCAGCTTGCAGTTCCTGTGCATCCATCCACCTGAATTAAAACTGAGGTGCCTGTGGGACGGA